CGATGTCTTCACAGCCACGAGAAGGGGGCGACGGCTCGGCGACGTCTTCGTGCAAATCCGCTTGGTGGTCGGGCGTGTCGTACGGGATGAATCCCAATTCTTTCGATCGGTCCCAAATTCCTCTTTCGAAGGAAGACAGATTCACCGGTAACGCGAACGACAGTTCTGAAGGGGACTCGCGGGACTGGCTGGCTGAACGGCCATCGCCGTCCAGGGGCCCTAATCTGGACACTTCGCGGAAAAGTCGGCGAGAAATCCTGCGGCTATGATTGGCCGGCGTCACAGCCCGTGAGTCCCACGATACGCGATACGACGCCATGTTGAAAATTGCGCAGTGAACGCACAGAATGCTTCCAATTTTGTTTGAAACTTTTTTTTTTTTTCATTCGACATATTTGCAGTTTTTTTTTAATTCACAAAGAATGGGTTTCATTTTTTTCTTCTTCTATCTCTAATATTGAGTGTGTGCCTTCGATGACTCGCGAAATTTGGTGGTTGTGTCTTAACCTTAGGAAGCGGCCTGTGAGCACGGAGATGAGTGTGAGGAGTGCGACTCAAACCGGCCAGTTCTCGATCGGCGGTTTTCTGGAGGAAAGAAACCGAATTTCGAGCCGCTAATTCTGGTGTGGGTAGTTGGGTATCGTATGTGACGTACAACTAGAAACCACGTCGAAAAAGAACTTTGAATGCTCGCCGTGAGCACGCGCTCACCAGTCGCGCAGCTCCACACCTATGACCGCCAGTGAACACTCATTATGTTATGAACAGCAATATCCTAAGGGCATCTTATTTTTTTTTAATTTGAGATTTTGCAGGGATACTTTGATATTGCAAGAGGATTAATACTGACTCTCGTCTAAATTTATTTTTATGCTTTTCTTTTTAATCTGAATTAAGAAGGGCAGTTTTCTTTCAACCTCTAGAGCTCGAAGAAAACCTAAATGTAGGCGCTTAAAATTTTTGTATTCTAACATCAGTGAGATTTTGTGCCTAAAATTACCATTCGCGGCAGTCCGTCCTTGATCAGTCGTCTTGTTACCGTGCTGGTGCTCCTACACGCGGCTAAGCAGGCCATTGCGTGAATCCTAATTTAATCTTCGCGGCGATGCGAATGAAAATGAGGTGTGCGCTTATGCCGCAACAGCTCTTCTTGCTGCTTCAAAATTGGGTTTTGACCGCTCCAAGAGCTGCCTCCAAAGTAAAGACCCAAACCCGTTCACATCGCCGTAAATATTGAGGCACACCTTTGGTCTGGCATGTCACGTGTAAAAACCGTAAAGCGGACCTTACCGGTTTAAAGGACCGTTCGCACGGTGCCGTTTGACCGCGAAAAAGAATCCGTTGCGCTTGCCTACATCGGAAACTAAAAAAGAAACAAATGTTAGTGCGTTCCTTCTGCAGAGTCTGCGCGCTGGGAAGAGGTGACTGACGCGTCTCGGGGGAGCGGGCGTGACGTCATCGATGACTCACACTCCCCTGGCCGAGGGGCGGCTGTCGGTTTGATGCATCGGATGGCAGGCGCTCCCGCCGAGATCGCCATTGAGCTGCGACGAGTGTGCCGACCGATTGATTAATCCCTACGATTCTGTTGGCGTTTTCTTTTGCGGGTAAAGAAAGGGGTTGTTTGACTGGACCTTGATCCGCTTCCCTCGATAGGTTTTTTTGTTGCTTTATGGTGGACAATCGTCGGTACTAAGATATCGTGTTTATTTGTTTGTTTTGTTTTTTTCCCTTCGTTGTTTATGTAGTGTACACTTCTCGGAATGGAATCCCTGACGTTGATAGCCTGTGAAACGCCCGTCAGCTTTTCTCCCTGGGCTCGGGTGTCGATTTGGGCATTCAATGCACGTGTTGAGGCTGCCTTCGTTTTTTTTCCCGAACTTCCCCCGGAAAGAGCGTTAGACGCGAGCGCGCTTGATGGGCGATCGTCCGCCGCACGCCGGGCTAGCAATTGCACTTTGGGTCGCTACGCGAGAATTTAATTGATTGATTGATTGAGGTTTTATGGCGCAAAAACACCGGGAAAGCAGCGAGCACCGAAGAAAATATAGCGCGCAAAACGCAGAGAACAAAGCAGAAGAAGCAGGCAGAGCAAGCGCTAACTTACTACTAACAAATATTCAACCGAAAAAAAAAAAAAATAATAAACACGAGCAATTACAGCGAAAAACAAACCGAACTCGAGACTCGCTTAGCGCGCTATATTTGATTTTCTTCAGTTATGAACCAAGTTCCAACTAGCCCACATCGCCACTTAAGTAGTGCAACCACTGATGGGAAATCCAGACATTTGGCATTGCACAAACTAGGGCGAAACAGACAGGAATTTCGGGGAAAACAAATAGCCTTTTATAGGACCAGGGCCGCCCAGATTGAGAGAGGCATAAACCGAGGACACGTGACAGGGATGTCGCGAACTTTGTCGAACTGGTTTGGCGAACCTTCGAACTCCCGGCGAAATTCGACGGATTTAAACTTCCTAACCAGCGTCGTACGTCTTTTTTTTTTTTTTTTTTTTTTTAAAGGAACATTTTTATTATTAGAAGGGCGGGAGGAATCGTATGTTTGTCTGACCTGGGCTAGGTGGCGCAAGCTGCCGCCTCCTTCCAAACGGTAGAGCTATTAATATCCATCCATCCCGGAGGCGGAGACGTCTTTAGGCGATCGACGCTTTCGGCGTCCCCTCGCAGCTCGTGCTGCAAATGCGGCCCGTAAACCACGTGACCCCGATAGTTGGGGAAAACTCTCTCGAGTGCTACAACACTGGCAGCAAGCTCCTCGATGCTCGGCTGATTTGACGGAATGTCCGTGCGCTGGAATGCCGAGCGAATTACACGCACGGAATCCTATGGCGTACACATTTCGTGTATGAGTAGGAAGAGTAAACGACAGGAAAAAAAAAAAATAATAACGACGACGATGCGTGATTGTTTATGACGTAATTTCGGAGCTGCCCAAATCAGGTGTTGTTGGAGCGGACAAACAAGTACAGTCTGAGAAAAAAAAGAAAACGAACAAGGTTTTTTTTAGTTTGTGTTGCACTTGCGCTCATTAGTAATGTTCGACCGAGTTCAGAACCCAACAGTTTTTTTCTTCCTTCTTGTAATCGACATAACGAGGCTTTTTTTCTTTTTTGGAGGGGGGAAAGGGGGGGGGGGGCGTGAAGTAGTAGGGACGCGTAGTTATGGGTAATAGTTACGGAAGTGCGCACAAAATAAATAAAAAGAAGCAAAAAAAAAAAAGGTGTAAGCGTGCGCTTTGCTGCTCCCTTTCCCAGGAGACCTTAGGCGCCGGTAATAGTTCTCTGCAAAGTAAGAAACGGCAAAGGTACGGCTACCCGTTTTACGCGGTGATTTCGGTAACTTCAAAGAATCAAGGTCAAGAATGCGATTTTCGGATGCTCGCTCGGTAGGGTTTCCTTCTGGTTTTTTTTTTTCTTTCTTTGTTTTGTAAGAGTAGTTAAATGCGTTTTTTTTTTTTTAATTTTGTTGTACGATAATTTTTTTTAACCGGTCTTCGGTTCTATTTTTGTGGCGTCACTCGAGCGGTTTACGGAGCGTTGTTTTGTTTATCTTCGCAGTTCTGTGTTCTAAATAAAATCGGTAGAATTAATCGAAACAATAAAAACAACACAATAAAAATAAAATAATGAGGTTGGGCGGTATGCGTTACGATGTTACGTACTATAATTACTATCGTTAAACGCGTCTTTATTGAAAGTGACTTCGAACATGTCACACCCGAACTGGCACAGAACGGCGCGTCCATGCCATTTCGTGAAGCTGAGGCATCGTGCAAGCTCGCAAAAAAAAAAAAAAAAAAAAAAAAGCATTAGATTTTAACGTGCACCACGCAGTAGTAGTGATACACGACCGCACGCCGGTACGATGCTCATCCAAATCTGAAACGGGTGGGAATCGAACCCAGGATCCGTCCTGGGTTTTGCAGCGCGAGCTTTCGCTCCAGATACTACGAGCTGCGGTGCGCGCTAGCCATAGTTGTAGGAGTTACCGAAAAAAGAAGGAACGAAATAGGTTACTCGTTACTTGCAGGTCGCGTTACCGACCTACGTTACCTGAAAGAAAAACGAAACGCATTACCGTTACAAATCAAATGTAACGCACGTTACTTTTCTCATTTCTACTGTTTTGACGTTACAGGTATCCATATGCGCCGTATGTCAAAAATAAGTCCACGGCGAAACTGAACATTATTGATTACCTTATATTTCTACGTTTTCACCTAAAAACAAAAAAAAGAAAAACGCAATTACGAGGCTCAATGACACACACCCCATCTAAATAAAGTTTGTCCAACAAAGCAGCACAAAAAAAAAAACAAAAAAAAACACGCAAATTACACAATTTGGCGCCTAAAAACGCAAAAACATTTGGGTAATTTTTTTTTTAAGTTGGGATTTTTTATTAAGTCGTGAAAAACGTGTAACGTGACTACGTAATTCGTTACTGAAACAAGTAAATACGTTACACGCGCTTACGTTCTATCCACCCGTTACCGAAAAAAGTAACGAAAGTAGGTTACACGTACTTACATTTTTGCTTACATATTCTTCCCGAGACTTGAAAAAAAATATCACACATGTTTTTTTTTGTGTTTCAAGGGGCCAAGTTATGTGATTTTTGTGCGTTATTTACGGTTTTTCTCGTATTGAGGTGAAATGGTTAGAAGTAGAGGGTAATTATGTTCAGTTTCTCTATGCACATATTGTCTTGAAACACGTTACACGTTACCGCCCACACTGGCGCTGACATGCTCTAGTGGAATAAGGGCGGATGTAACCTATGTGGTGACTTACGGTGCTGGGCCTTTCGAAGTAGAGTGCGAAAGGGCTCCGAAGTCGAGTACGTGCTAACAGCGTCGCGCGCTGTATATACATTCATGCTCGTAGACAACTGCACCGAATTGTGGTGAAATAACTTGAGTGTCTTTTTCTCTCTCTCTCGCACTCACTCACTCGCGTGCACAACCACAGCAGTCCTTTTTTTTTTTTTTTTTTTCATTGCTTGTTTTCTTGTTGTGTGTGTGTGTGTTTTAATATGAAACTAAATTGTCGGACACTATTCTAGTAATCGCGACAGAAATGTTTCGAGTGGAGTGAATGTTGTGTGGGTGCCGACATCCCTCTCTCTCTCTCCTCGGCGCTGTTGAGTCGAGTGGGAGAGAGGTTATTTTGGGACGACATGATGACTCTGTACCGCAAACACCGACCCGGTAAACGCTGTAGGGATGATGCACCCACGACGTTCTCCGAGAGGAAATAAAATAAACGTCGGCTGAATGGTTCGCCAAGAATTAGTCGTCGGTGGAACACGTCCTTAATGCCGTAGGGAGTACATCCCTACACGACATTCGTGGCTCGTATACATCGGCGTTTATGTTCTCGTGTCGGAATCGATGTGTGTACACACCAACGCGCGGCTATATGACGTTGTGCCGCTGCGGTAGTGTGGCTGTTCGGCACGGCGCAACGCATTTCTCAATAATATAAAACCTTAATTAGGTACACCTATACACAGGAAAGGTCTGCGTTGGCTGACGACTGGTAACACGAACATTCAGATCGTGGCCAACTATGACGATGTTTAGAGCACGATGGTTGTTTAAACAAAAAAGCGTAAGCTAACGTTGGTTAGCTTAGCCCTTCGCGAAATAAACGATTTTGTGAACGGCTAGTTCAGATCGCGATTACGAGAGAACCGATATATACGGCGGTTGTTCGGATCTCTCGTGTGGGAGGCGCTAACGCAGTGAAAATGAAGGATTGAATCTCTGCCGTTAATTGAGTAGGCGCCGGACACCGCACCCATTGCGGTTTTCCGTAGAGAAGACTGCTCTTATCACGAGGACAGTTCAGTCAGATTTTCAGGAAGTCCGATACTTTAAATGAGCGATTAGCGTACCTGTCCATCGAATCTGACGGAAGTAGATGTTGCTGGAAGTGATACTCTGGCGGTTACCGATCGTGGATACAGGCTGTTCGATGACAGTAATCGATAGTGGCTACGGCCTTTTGAATGAAGATAACCAACCCTGGTTACAGCCCGTTGCTTTAAGTTTAATAGAAAAAAGTAACTGCGCTGCTGTTTTGTCATTAAAGGTTTTCCTCAAGGTCATTGTTTGCTGCGAAAGCTTCGTAGTCGAAACGGCTTGCACCTCGCCGTTTTTTGATAGCGAGATTAGGTTCAAGTTCGGTTTAATAATCACCTAGTTCTAGCTGAGACCAGTTTAGCTACGGCTTAAAAGTGGGTTGGGACGGCATATACATGACCAGCTTGCGTCTAGTAACACCTTCGCTGTCTTCGTTGAACCATTCGAAGTGACAAAGCTACACTTCCGCCGATAATATTCCGAAGGCAAAGAGGTGTGAGTGGCAAATAACTTTTGGTGTTGCATGCTGACCTTCGAGTTTTCTCCTTGGTGGAGTTAGGTGGTTCTTTGCTATTGAATTATTCGCGAGAATGAAACAAACAAATAAATAAGACGACGTTGAAAGCGGTTGAACAGAGACTGTGCAAACTAACACTGAAAATATTTGGCGACAGATCGGTTAGAACTCCTGATCGAAGTTCGGAGCGTGATTTCCAAAACAACAAACTGCGCTGGAAAAAAAAAAAAAAAATAAAAAAAAAATTGTGATAGGCGGTAAAAAAAAAAAGAAAAAAAAAAAAAGAAGGTATTAGCTTGATGAATTTTTTAAAAAAGCGAAGTTTAGAAGCGTCCATTTTCGATGGATTTTTCGCAAAATGGTGCAAAATTTGCGGCCACTCCGTCGCAAGTTTGCAGGTTGGTGGTCAATACTTTCCCCGTGATTAAAAAAATAGAAGGGAAGGACGAGGGCTAGCCCGTTGGGTACGCACGGCGGCGGCAAGGCCAAACCGGGACATGGCTCGGCCGGCTTTTCCCACCCGCGGTCCGTGCCCGGGGCCCGAAATAGCCAGCCTCCTCGCCGAGCCTGCTCGCAGCCTTCCAAGCCCATCTTGGGCCTAGGAGCCGAACCCCCCTCGCGCGGCCGCGGGGTTCGGGCGCGCTCCGCCGCTGCCGTATATGGCGCTGCGCCGCGGCACGCGCGACGTCACGTCCGGGTCACGTGGGGGCGGGCTTCCGCCGGCCGGCCTCCGTTCCCACCCCCCCTGGGATAAAAGCGGCGGGCGGCCGGTTCGGAGGCATCACTCCTCCGGGGCTCGGCGTTTCAACGAGGTCGGCTCTTGCACTACATTGTTCTTTTCGAGCACCGCCAGCTCCAAGGTGTGTGTTCCGTCCAGCGTGGCTTTTACCAAGCTTCTCTCTCGACTTGGTGGATTTTGGTCGTCGGAGCAAGTCGCTTGGATTTGATCGTGGGGTGGGGTTTTGAGGGCATCTTTCTTCGCCGCTGGTCGTGAGTATTGGGGGAGTCTACGGTGCTGGGACAATGAGCTAGTTGGTCTAGAAAATTGGGGTACTTTGATTAATTAGTCATCGCGAAGTAGTGAGTCGCGTTTGTTTAAAATGGTCTCTTTTAATTTGGAAAGGCAGCGGGCCTTGAGCATTCGGCAGTTGGTCATCTGTGAACGAGGCGATTGTCTCACTTAATTGGTCTCGAGAAGCTTGAGACTAATGAGGGTGGGGCTGTTAGAACCATTCAGTTCACTAGCTAATTTGCCCGTCACTAGATCAGAAGCGGGAGCTTGGAGCGATGGACTTTATCGGGTAGTGGGTGTGTCCTGCAGCGCGAGGCGCCGAATTCAAAGTTGCGTATACGCTGATTGTAGCTGAAGGGTGACCAGCTGTCTCGTTGTGCGGGCCTAACTGCTTCGTTTCGTGCTCGCGGTGTAAGTGAATGTAGGCAGCTTGGTGTGGAGTGCAACAGGCAACTATTCCGGTTAGTTGGACGAGCACTAGGGGTCGAGCATTTTTCTGGAGTGGTTTAACTGTCTAGGATCGCGACAGTAGTGGCTGCTCCTGCGGCCGCGATCGAGCTCGTGCTTGAACCCGGTGGGGCGTCTGTTCTCTTTTGTGTGCGCAGCTAAACATCCGACATGTGTGACGACGAGGTTGCCGCTCTGGTGGTCGACAATGGCTCCGGCATGTGCAAGGCCGGCTTCGCCGGGGACGATGCCCCCCGCGCCGTGTTCCCCTCCATCGTGGGACGCCCCCGCCATCAGGTGAGAACCCCCCCCCCCCCCCCCCCCCCCCCCTTCCTTTGCCCTCTTTAGCACCTCTCCAGAACACCTAAGGCCTCCAGCAGCATAGGATGCCCTTTAGAACTATTTATTTACTCCGACCCCATCCAGGGTGCAAAAGTGTATTTTTGCTCCCTTAGCACCTAGATCCGAACATCCCTATATTACTCCCTTACGATTAAGGGTGTCAAGTTTGTACCATTAGTACCTTGACTTCTCATGTACTCTCTTACGACTGAGGCTGTAGACTCGTGCTCTCTCCTTCAGTACCCCACTCACGGATATTCGCGAACGTTGTTTCAGCCGTGCAAGCGCTCTCGATTGGAAGGCGTCTAGCGGAGAGAACTTCCCGTAACCTGCGATAATTCGACCACAGCCCGAAGGCCGCAGTCGTCGATTGATTAAATCTAAACGCGGATGTCATCAACACGTTCACCGTGATGACATCGCGATAACTAGAGTTACCGTGTTGTAGCTTCTTATCGTGATTTGTCACGTTGAAAACTAGACGAGTAGTCGCGCACGCCGCTTGAGGTGAATGCCCGACCCAGTCGGGGCGCTAACGGCTAGACACTGAACAGTTCCTCCCCGAGGCCGAATCGCTATAATGGTAGGTACCCTTTCCGCTAGAGCTAGTTGCTCGACATGCGCGAGACTGCTCGGTATTTAATCTAGAATAATTTTTCGGTTTCTTCATGGCGATGACCGGCTTGTTCACGGCCGCCGAGTGGGTACTAAAGGACTGATGGCGTAGCGTGATAAAGAAAGCGGGCACGTCTGCGCGCTCCTCGCTTCTAAATGAGGATTCCTCGGCGGCGCGTACGTACATAGTTCCCTCTCCCCCTAAGGGCGTGCAGTTATGTCAGGCGCGGGTGGCCTCGATTTTACGCGCGTTTCTTTCTATTTTGTGACCCCGTACAAGTGGGTGCTTTTGCCTCTTGAGATTCTTCTTCCCGCTGCTGCTGTTGTACTTCGTGGGGAGGACAAAGGCTTTCCTCTGCGGGGCCGCGGTGTAATTAAAGCCACCTTCCCCTCGTTTATGGAGGGAGGGTGCGGTAAAAGCGCATAGTTACAAGCCGATCTTATCTGGTTCTGGGATTACGAGAGAAATTGGGCTTCCGTAGATACTGCGTGAGGGTGGAGGGGGCGTGTGCTCTGTGCCTTGGCCTAGGATTATCTGGGTTGGCTCGTAGTGAATCGGAAAATATCGCTTGGGAGATAATTTCGGAGCGCAGAAGATTACGATTGCGATAAAGCAGGGGCTGTGGTAGGGTATCCATCGATGTACCTTATGATCTCTTAGCTTCAGAACTTTAGCCCAATTGTCTGCAATGGTCAAGTTTTGACGGGAAAGCTACGTAATGTTGACGGGTTAAATTTCAGCACGTGTTGTGATGGTATCGAACCTTGGCAGAATGGACCTTTGGAAGGTTATGGTTCCCTGGGACGATCGCCGAACTAGATACGTAGGATTATCTAAATGTAAAGGGTTGAGGTCCGTGTGGGACGTTACGTCACGCCTGGTGTTGACCGCCCGCCGCTCTCTTGCGCGTGTCCCCCTCCTAGGGTGTGATGGTCGGTATGGGCCAGAAGGACAGCTACGTGGGTGACGAAGCCCAGAGCAAGCGTGGTATCCTGACCCTGAAGTACCCCATCGAGCACGGCATCGTCACCAACTGGGACGACATGGAGAAGATCTGGCACCACACCTTCTACAACGAGCTCCGCGTGGCCCCCGAGGAGCACCCCGTCCTGTTGACCGAGGCCCCCCTGAACCCCAAGGCTAACCGCGAGAAGATGACCCAGATCATGTTCGAGACCTTCAACACCCCCGCCATGTACGTGGCCATCCAGGCTGTGCTCTCCCTGTACGCCTCCGGTCGTACCACGGGTATCGTGCTCGACTCCGGCGACGGCGTCTCCCACACCGTCCCCATCTACGAAGGGTACGCCCTGCCCCACGCCATCCTCCGTCTGGACTTGGCCGGCCGGGACCTGACCGACTACCTGATGAAGATCCTCACCGAGCGCGGCTACTCTTTCACCACCACCGCTGAGCGGGAAATTGTCCGCGACATCAAGGAGAAGCTCTGCTACGTCGCCCTGGACTTCGAGCAGGAGATGGCCACCGCCGCCTCCTCTTCTTCCCTGGAGAAGTCTTACGAGCTTCCCGACGGACAGGTCATCACCATCGGCAACGAGCGCTTCCGCTGCCCCGAGGCCCTGTTCCAGCCTTCCTTCCTGGGTATGGAATCGTGCGGCATCCACGAGACCACGTACAACTCCATCATGAAGTGCGACGTGGACATCCGTAAGGACCTGTACGCCAACACCGTCCTGTCCGGTGGAACCACGATGTACCCTGGTATCGCCGACCGCATGCAGAAGGAGATCACGGCCCTGGCGCCCTCCACCATGAAGATCAAGATCATCGCGCCCCCCGAGCGGAAGTACTCCGTCTGGATCGGCGGCTCCATCCTGGCGTCCCTGTCCACCTTCCAGCAGATGTGGATCTCCAAGCAGGAGTACGACGAGTCTGGCCCCAGCATCGTCCACCGCAAGTGCTTCTAAGCGCTTTCAACTGCCCACTTTACCATCAGCGGGAGGCGGCGGAGCGTCGAAAAACAAGCAACCGAAGAACGAAGAAAAAAAATGCAACAGCCGAACTTTCTTTCGAATACGCCGACATTTTTTTTTTTATCCCGGAATTTTTTTTTTATTTTTTTGTAATTTGTTTATTTGGGAGTTTAGGTCCCTACGTCGACCGCCTCATTTCTTTTTCCCTTTCATTTAAAACCCCTTTCCCCACTTTCTCGCGGTTTATTTTTCTCGCGTGGACGAACGGCGGCCATTGGATTCTACTGCCCTGGTTTTTACATGTTGGTGTCTTTAGCGGAGGTGTCGCGCCTAGGGGCCGATGCCCTAACGATGGTTTGCTAGGTTCGAGTGCAGTGGGGTTTGGCGGGGAGATTGTGGAAAAGAGTGCGCGTGTGTGCTGGGGACTGACTCCTCTCGGAATCTAAGTTAACAAATTTTTTTTTTCTTCATTGGTGGAATAAAAATTGTTTTTACAGTATTCTTGCTTTGTACTGTGGTTGCGGTTCTCTTCGCCTGCGAGTGGTTCTTCTTATTTGGAGACAACCATCCTGGCGAATGACCTGTTTATTCATTTAGTACTCCGGTATTCCTCGCTGCATGTCGGCAGTGCACTTTCTCTTTCCAGCGTTGGTTTCTGAAACCACTGGGCAATTGTTCCCGAGGGCTGCAGAGCTCGCACTGCTCAAGACCATTGGAATGGCATGTAGAGGGTGTCTTTATGCGCGCTTTTGCTTAGGGTGATCACATCTGGCTATTTGATTCCAAACGCTTATATGTACTTTTTTGCGCGCGCTCCTGGCGTTGACTATGCTACGGCGGCATTTTATTTTCAGCGATTTCTTTATTTTCCCAGGACCCTTAAATACCTTGGGTGTTTTCCCTGTGAGGGCGTGTTTGAGCACGTGCTCGCGGCATCCTGATTACGCACGAGATGTCCGTCATCGTTCGGATGGCGCACCTCTCGAGCAGCCTGAAGTCGAAAGGTCATGACCAACTCGTAACATCCTTGTGACAAGCCAACTGGGCCATGAACACTGGTTCCCCCAGCACAGCGCTTCCTCGGGGCTTCCAGCGTCCCTGCCAAGCTCGAGCGTTCGCGCAGTCGCAAGCATTAAGCTTATAAAACTTCAGCGCGCGCCCCCCCCTCTACCCCACCCCACCCCGAAATAGCAGAGACTAGTAACAGCACGATACAGTTGTGCGAACAAGCCTCGTCTCTGCGTATACGGCGAACTACAGCCGAAGCTACGGGCCACGGAAGTCTATTCGCGAGCCGGGTACATACCACGTGGTGCACCTGTGCGAACTCGTGTCAGCTTGGCGTCTGGGTTCTTCAGTCCCAGGCTCGCACAGTATACCGGCTTCTCTACATCGGTCCTATTTGACTGTTTTCTGTGTACGCGGAACCATAGGCGTAGACCGGGGTGCGGGGGGGGGGGGGGGGAGAGCCCCCGGGGATTCTTACCGAGACGCTGTTAACGTGCCAAGTAACGAGCTTCTATAGGAGCGGCATGTAAACAAAATAACGCCCACGTTGCCTTTATTGACAAAACACATGGGAAATGGAATTCTACCGTGCTTTCGTTAGCTTCAATCTCCAGTTATGGCAAAAATGTAACGCGCAAAACCCCCCCCCCCCCCCTCTCCCTCCTCCCCCCCCCCCCCCCCCCCCCCCGGGGAAAATGGAAAGTGTACGCCGCTGCGCAGAACTGACTGGCGAAAACAACCAGCTTTAACGAGTCAGATGTATGGTCCATGGAGCTTCAACAGTGTGCAGTGAGACATTCCTTGTCTTCTGTATGTCGTGCCAGAACCCGGAGAGCTTGCTTTTCGCGTGGTCAAAGTCACTGTTTCGTATAAATAAAAACTACTTTCCAGCATGTACGATGAAATGAGGGGAGACGATTCCGTTTTGAGCGTTATAATAAAAATACTCTTCAAGTGTTTTTCTTTTTTTTTTTTAACATTTTGATTGAAATTGACGGGTGTTTTTTTTTTTTTCAAGATTTTGAATTTTTGTGATTTCAGCCTTGGATCTTTTGGACGAAGCGAAATCTTCTCGTGGAATTGCACGTATCCGTGCCTTCCGCAGCTGTTCGTCTCGGGGAATCGCAACCAGGTGCAATTTTCGTTCGCCTTTTTTGTTGTTTCATTCAATAATTCTTAAACGACCAGAATTTTGTCTCATCGTCAGAACTACAATTGATTACGATGCTGAAAAAGAGAAAGAGGGCTAAGTGCTTTTACACGCGTTCAAGAATCACA